TTCTTTGTCGCATGAAGACAACCTTGAGTTCATTTTTTTTAAAAACAATTCGTTGCCCCCTCTCCTTTTTTCCCCCTCATCCAACGCCCTTACCCCCAAATGTTCCAGATTTACAACACTTATATATTTTATGCCCCTTGCATAAAATCACCCATATTTGGAACTGTAACTTAGACGAAATGACGCAAAGCATGACAAAAGCGAATACAACTTTAAGTGGACCTACAAAAAGATGTCGTATATAATTAAGGTCTCTCATTAAATCATCATTATAAAAGCATTAAGTCTATAAACGCTAACAGGTGCTGACATCAAAGTTCTATCCATCTAATTAGATAGACTCATGTCAGCTGATTGTATAGCCTCTAGGCCACTTCCATCTAACTTCTAGGACTTTATGCAGGTTGATTATGTAGCCTTTAGGACTCTTCATGCAGGTTGAGTATATAGCCTCTACAACACTTCATTAAAGCTAATTATATATCCATTAGGGCCACTTCATGTCAGCTAATTCTATAGGGCTGGTAAGCAGGTCACCAACCAGTTCTATAGCTCATGCAGGTTTTATTGAGCCGTAGAACTGGTTGGTGACCTACTTACCAGCCCTATAGCCTCGAGGCCACTTCAATATAACCTCTAGGACTTCATGCAGGTTGAAGATATAGTCTCTAGCAGTGGCGTAGCCAGGATCGTCTCAAGCGGGAGGGTTCCAATTTTTTAACCCGGGGACAAACTTTCGATTTGCACCCCCCCCCCGCTCAGACTTTCGATTTGCACCCCCCCTCAGACTTTTGATTTGCGCCCCCCTCACACTTTTGATTTGCCCCCCCCCCCCTCAAACTTTCGATTTGCACCCCCTCATGCTTTATATATACCGAGGGGTCTATGGGGAGGGGGTGTTATGACCCCCCCCCCTAACCCCCCCCCCCTCCCCGCCTACGCCACTGGTCTCTAGGACAATGCATGCTATCTGATTATATTGCCTCTACATTACTTTATGCAAGCAAAGAAATGAAACGCAAATAAAAACTAACGATGACTACATCTCCACTATATTTAAGAATATAACTGGTTACATATAAAGCTAATCAAAGGGACTACCTAAGAAAAAATTATTTCAGATTTTCCTCAAAGATATAGTAGAGAGTGTTTGAAACTGAAATTAGATATCACGTTATTCGCTTCCATTTGGCGGGAAAAGGTATCACTTCTTGCAAAATAGAAGGGAAGGGTGTCTAAAATGTTGTGTGGGGTTCTTCTAAATTTACAAATAATGTTTTTCGACATTCTCAGGTGCGTCGTACCAGCTAGTTTTTAAGGGTTACGTCTTGTGTACAAACCCACTACTTTCTACCGCTAGATCACACTGTTCTACGAGTATAACATGAAATCTGCCCATTAAAACAGAGAAAAAACAAAAACTAACAAAGCAATTCATTAACATCAACACTAAACTCATTCGGAATTTACTCGTGGAGAGTGAAACATTTTTTTCCATGATCTATGTGTATAGTTGTTATGTGTATCTATGTGTATAGTTGTTTTTGTTTTGTTTGTTTAAATACATTTTTTTTTCTAATTCTAACAAACAGGATCCTGCGTGATTTTTGTTGACGCGATTATATTTTGTCTGAGGCTGGAACAAAGACTAAAAAAGAATAAGTGTTTAACCATTCTTACTTCTTTTTCAATGCCAGTCACATAATAGAGCCGGATTGGCTCAGTGAAGTTTTAATGACGACTGTAGTTTAATCTTGACTTTGTACTGGGACTTACAAATCTAAGCTCAAACGTATTTTTTAGGTCACTGCTGTGTTGACCTGCTCGTAGGTCAAAAGGTCAATTCAATGTCTTATCTGCAAGTAACTGAACAAAATGTTGTAAGAAACTACAAGGTCATAGGTTGAAAAATTGCCTGTAAATTCAGTTGTCTATGTGTGGACTTTTTGATAGCAAATATAACTGGTTGAACTAATAACTGTCTTACTTGTAAAATTAACCAGGAATTAGGCCCTAGGTTTTATTTGAAATAAAATAAAATTGTAATCAAACATAGTTTTGTTGAAGTATATAGCTCTTATCTCTTGTATAAAAAAACTTTGTTTGGGTAAGTGTTTGATTTAAAAGTTATTGCACAGCTTCGACTAGAGAAAACATCAGTAGCGACAAAATTATAATTTTAAACTAAAGTAAGTAAACAATTAATGAGCTTAGTGCATCAGGTGGCTCGTTGGTCTGGGGTTATGATTCTCGCTTTGGATGCGAGAGGTCCCGGGTTCAAATCTCGGACGAGCCCACTGTTTTGGTTTGTTTTGTGTCGTAGATTTATTTTTTCGAATTTATTCAATGTATTTGATTTTAAAACTATAAAAAGTAACCTATTTATTTGACAACATTTGCTTTACTAAACATGTCACCAATATAGCCTACTTGTAGTGGGTTTTGAGCTATTCGAAGGTGTGTGTATCCTAGTTGATGAAAATTTGAGATTTTTTACATCTATTTGTACTGACGTCCAAACATAGCACGGTTTACCAAAATTGTATATTAATCCGTGGAGGGGTGGGATAAAATAGAAATATCCCTCCCCTAGCGACAAAATGGGCAGGGTTAGATTCTCGTTTTAAATCTAGAATCTGTAAGCCGGTGAATTGTAATTGTAATTTAATTATCGCCGATTGCCGTTGGCACCCAGTCGTTTGGTCAAGGGAGGTGATTCGATTCTCTTCCTCCTTCGCTCCCCTACCTATTGTCCATGGCGATATAAAGTATCGTATCATGGATTCTCTTGTATTCTAGTATCGCGCTTGACGTTTGTGTTTGGGGGTGAGGATTAAGGCGTAGATTAGAGTTAGTGTTCAGGTTGTCGCCAGGTTTATGTATCACGTTAGGGACAGGCCTAGTGTTGAGTTACACTTCGATATCTACTTTATTTTAAGCTCCAATCGAAGGGTAATGCAAGTACTGAATCAAAGTAACATTTTCGTGACAAGCTTATGGATTAACTCGTAATCTTGTCGGGTCATTGATAGTTTTCTGTGGCTAATAGGTGTACAGAACAAAACCACAACAATGCATTCCTTTACAGCAGGGGTCTCCAAACTACGGCCCGCGGGCCGCATGCGGCCCGCGAAGTCCTCTCATCCGGCCCGCGGAAATCTTTTTGTCCAAAAAAAATCGTTTGTTGGTGATGGATGAGGAACTTTGCCCAGAAAAATCAAAGACATACATATAAGAAACTGGCCCCCGAACTGAAATTTGATAGTTAACGCGGCCCTCGGACTAAAAAGTTTGGAGACCCCTACTTTACAGGATGAGAGTATGTTTTGAAGATAGGAATGGGAGGGATATAGTGTTAAACAATTTATTCGTATGTGACGTCAACTTAATAAAGGCCTTCTGCATCTCTGTTAGATCTAGATTGCTTCAGATCAAAGATTACATTATCACGATATCGGAGGGTCGTTGGTCTAGGGGTATGATTCTCGCTTCGGGTGCGAGAGGTCCCGGGTTCAAATCCCGGACGACCCCATTACTTTTTACAATTTTGTTGGCTTCATATAGTACCAGTTTTAGGATAGATTTCGCCTAATGGCGAACTAATGGCCTACTTTTCTAAGAAAATTAATTAAAAATAAGATAACCAAGATGTAGTTTTCTTGATTTTGTTGTAAGAGAAAAGATGTTAACCGTTAAAACAAATTTAATTAGATGACATTATTATTTATTTTTAGTTTTTAATGAAACAAATTCTTAAAATGCTACCTTGGCCCTAACCCTTAACAAACTCATTAATTAAAACACAAAATTTGTAAACGCTACACCTTAATTTACACACTTAATTCAAAACATCCAGGTGGCTCGTTGGTCTACGGGTATGATTCTCTTTGGGTGCGCGAGGTCCCGGGTTCAAATCCCGGACGAGCCCAAGCGATTTGTAAGCTTTTTTCTTTTCTAATATTTTAACTTGTACATTTTCTAATGTCTTTTATTACTTGTCTAAAACTGTTACTAACATTGTATTATTTCACAGTAGATTAAATAATACGAGCCGACCCGCGGCGTATCACAAGCCGCTATATGATACTCCCCTATTTAGTTGATTTATTTTCTACTTTTCAGTAATTCATAATTTGTGAATTCGACAGTACGACTGCTGTCACTGAAAAAAATTTGCTTTAAAACACTATCAGTAGGTCGTTAAGAACAATACTACCCCCACCCTCGTCCCCCCCCCCCTCCCCCGTGAAAGCAGCCTCCCTTAGTTTAAAATCGTTTCAAACTAAATTTTCTGCCCTTAATAGCCGTCACTAAACCCGGCTCTACGATTGTAAACATTTAGCGTGAACCACGGCTCACCAGACTTCCTATCTGCCCCTAATAGCCGTCACTAAACCCGGCTCTACGATTGTAAACATTTAGCGTGAACCACAGCTCACCTGACTTCCTAAAGAGGAAGAGAGGGGACTGCAAGGGGCGCTTACAGCTTGTTTTCTAACGTCTCCAAGAACAGAATTATATATATATAGATTATAATGTGTAGTGTATGTGTTGTCTGCGTGAGTGCGTATGTATGGCTGTGTCTGCGTGCGAATGTGCGTGCCTGTGAGCGTATATGTGCATGTATGTGTGTATGTATGTGTGTGTATATATGTGTGTGACCTATCTTCCATACCGTTCAAGTATACAACAGAGATTTTCTACCTTCTTACCGCATACATAAGTGGACGGTGCAACAAACAATAAACACATTACTGAGGTATTGTCAGTAGTACAAATCAAAGTCAAACTTGTTTACAATAATTTATTAATTAATTGATGAATTAAATAATTTTACAACAGATAAACCTTTACACTAAACATGCGCATGATAAAATTAAAACGTGTTTTTACATCGCAAGGAATAAACAAATAGGATTGAATATTTACATTTGGCTAATTGCTTGAAAATAAAAAAAAATATAAAAAAACGCTAATTAAACCTACAGTCGGAATGTTACGAATTTCAGAAAAGTTTGGCCTATACGTACGTTCATTTGTACCTTAATTATTGTGTTAAAACTTAAATGAATAAGAAAGTGAAAATAATCGATAAATACAGAAAATGAATAGTGCACAGATGCTTGTTTTGATAACACTTATGAATTCGTTGTTTTTTTTTTTTGTGGTATTTATTTTTAACGTGAAAATGTAAACTGTTATATAATGTTACTTGTTTTTAAAGACATCCGATAAGTTATTTTAAATGCAATAAAAATGTTGGAAATTCCTACAGTATCGAGTAAAGTTTATATTTGGTGTGTTGAATAAACCACCACTTGCTGGTGTCAAGGTGGCAGATCATGAGGTGTCTCCACATGCGTCCTTCTGTACTCGTGGTTGACTTTAAAAATGAATGAATACCTAATGAAGTTGAGCGTTAGTTTGTTGACATAAGAATTCGGAAATAAACAGAGTAAAATAAAGTAACAGGGGAAGTAACATTTTGTCTATTTATAAACAAATAGATATAGATTTATCTTACTTGGTTTGACTCACCGTTTTCTTCATTCAAAATATTTAGAATAGTTTTATTTAAAACGTTTTTTGAGTTTATCATAAATTTATGTTTAATTATCGTTTAACTATTTAAGTTTTTTTTCACTTCTTTTAATTACTTGATTAAACCATTACTAATCAGTACTTTAATAATGCTATAAATTTGCTTATTTGCATTACTTGAGTACTCAAAGCCATTTAAAGAAGGCGAGACGATTTTTCGATTTCGTTTGTATTAAAAAAAAAGTGTGTATAAATAGGCATATATCTATATCAGTTTCTAATATTGTTACTATGAAACAATCAAACAAAGTTAGCGATCAATAACAAAAAATTAAATTCTAACAAACTATTCACAAATAAAAATAAAATAATTCAAATATTTAAATTATTAGGCAAAAATTTCAAATGCAGTTCAACATTAATATTACGTCAATTTTTTAGACTCTCACCTGATCACGTGATGTGGGTCGTCTACCCAACAACGACGGTATTTTCGCTGCCCGAGGTGTACGGGCAATGAGCATTGTTTTTCTGTTCCGGGTGATCTCCCCTTAGGTACAGGGACTTGAGAGCTGTAACGTGTAAAATATTTTCAAAACAAAATTAAGTAATTTTTTTTTAATCAACACGTTCAATGTGATATGGGTGATTATATCTATATCTTATGCGATTCCCAGCATCGACCCTTTGTTATATGAAGTTGGTCAAAAAAACATAAAACAATATGATAATCCCTAAATCTTAAGTAGGGTTTAAGCTCTGGTTATCAGTACGAAATTAGGTGTGTAAGGGTTATGTGAAGCAACGGCAGGGGATGGCGGGGTCAAGCGGTAGAGCCCAAGGTTACGAGCCCGAAGGTCTCGAGTTTAATTCACCAGCTAAACTCTGTTGAATGTGACTGAGTTTATCCAGCTCTGATGGGTACCTAACGACAGTCGGTGAAAGTAGAGAAGGCGGTAAACATGTATTGACAGAGGTCGGAGAAACAGATGAGCTCTACTTCAACTGCACTGTGGACCAAATGTGTTGAAAGTGTTCTTAAGGTTGTGGATAGTGTTAAGGACTCAGGCTAGGGAAAGATAAACTAGCAGTAGTCTTATATGATAGTACCTATACATTTGTTAGTAGTACAGTGATTTACAGTAATTTACAGTGATTTACAGTGATTTACAGTGATTTGCTTTAAACATGTTCATTGAGGCTTGTACTTTCACATCTTCTCATATTGTTTGGCTTAATTTGAAGTTCTGAATTATCTTTTAATTATATTTCAGCGATCTCAGTTGATAACCCAAGACAGGTAAGACAGGGTTAAAGTCAGTGGCGTAGCCAGGATCGTCTCACGTGGGAGGGGGGGGGGTTCAAATTTTTACCCGGGGACAAACTTTCGATTTGCACCCACCCCTCAAACTTTCGATTTGCACCCCCCCCCCCCTGAAACTTTCGATTTGCACCCCCACCCCTCAAATTTCCGATTTGCACCCCCCTCAAACTTTCGATTTACACCCCCCTCATACTTTATATATATACCGAGGGGGTCTATGTGGGGGGGGGGGGTCTGACCCCCCTACCCCCCGCCTGCCTACGCCACTGGTTAAAGTTCAATCCCAGCCACCACATGGCTGACCTTTGACCTACCTGCAACAGCACCCTGGAAACCGGCGTTGTAATCACAGGCGACCTCGTTGTTGACGTAGTTGGATCTGTCGTCGGTGTAGTCGTCATTCGCACCCGGGCCTCCGACCAAAGCACCGTAGAGGACGTGGGGGTTGGGGTCGTTGAGAGGTATAATTTGAGAACCGCATTCGGCTGGTTGATTGGGACAGGAGCTGGTGTATAAACACAAACATGTCACTATATATATATATATATATATATATATATATATATATATATATATATATATATATATATATATATATATATGTGTGTGTGTGTGTGTGTGTGTTTTCTGTGTGTGTGTGTGTGTGGTTACTAATATCAGATGGAAATCACAAAACAATCTACATTGAATTTTTATTGTATGGAGCTACAGATACAACGTCGGACTAATGTCATCAGATCATTCAGGTCAGGTACATGTTAGTAACAACTTAGTAACAACTACAACTTTAAACAATGAATCTCTACCTGGAGCGGTGACGCGGCCTCAGCGGATACTTGCTGCCGAACCCAACCACGTAGCTGAACCCCGTGTCGCCGAGGGCGTAGTGCATCTGACACATGGCCCACCGCCTGTACTCGTCAGGGTGAAGGCCGGCGTCGGCAGCCACCAGCGCCGCCATCGCCATGTTGGCTGAAAGGAACTGTTGGGTTAGCCGTACCAATCAATAGAGTTTTGAGTTTTGTTAGGTTTGGTTAGTGAGATACTTAGGGTGTTAGTTCGTAGTAAAGAATTGGTAATAAATAACGGTACGTAATTAAAACTCCCCCTACCCCTCCCTATTGTAGCACATCGAAACAAAAACTTATTTTTTGTTTATTATTGTTCTAAAAAAATAACTAACTAATTTGCAGATTTTTTTAAAAAATCGTTGAAATTGGATATTTAATTTACCTATTTTAATTCACCATAAATCGTTTGTTATTCTTTAAATTAAAAAACCCTGATTTAAATCAAACTTTAAATTTTTATTTTAATGTAATATTTCATTAACTATGTAGTCAAGCCTTACAGGAATATCTGAGCGAGCCCCATTGCAGCCTGTAGGCCAAGCCTTTGGGGGTGTAGGGGACATTACCCCCGGGGAACCAGTTCTTGAAGGAGTTCTCCACCACTGTCTTGTAGACGTCCTTCTTGGTCAGCTTGTACAGGAGGATCTGGGGAGGTTCAGGGGAAACATCTCTTCATGTTATCAGGGGAATGAACTCTTTAAAAAGATAAAAACTGTTTTGTATCATCGGGGGATAAATCTCTTCTCAAAGATGAAACTGTTTTGTTTTATAAAAGGGGAAAGCCCTCCACAAAGATGAAAACTGTATAACTATAACAAGAGGAACTCTTTAATTTTATAAGAGGCGCAGGTGGGAGGGGGGGGGGGAATCGGGGGGTCTAACGTTATAAGGAGATATGGTCCTTAATGCTATCAGAAAATAAAATTATATAATGTGATTAGATGTGAAAAGTCATTGATATTTCAAGGAGAGTAGGAGTCGGTGTGGTCGAGTCGGTAAAGCTCCAAGTTTTTAAATTTAAAGATTATGGGTTCGAATCCCCCCGAGTAGATGAGGCTCGATATCTGGGGACAGTGACCCATCTAGAAGAGATAAGTCTAAAATCATACAACTGCTGTCTTGTAGTTTGTTCTTGGTTGAACCAGGATTTGAACTGGAGAGTTATGAGTTAGCAGTCTAGTGCTCTACCGCTAGGCCAACCAGTCCCTTATATTACACAAACCATCACCACAGGTAACCCTATCCCCGCACCTGGTTAACGATGGTCTTGTCGTCCCAAGACATCCCCCAGGCCGGGTCGTGGTCCAGGTATCTCTCGGCCTCGTCCAGGTATTTGGTGTCGTTGGTCACCTGATAGAGCCAGAGTGATCCCCAACACAGCTCGTCCGTTATGTTGTTGGAACTGTGTGAGCATGAGACAAAATTAGCAGACAGTCCTAATGAGTAGGCTATAGTATACAGTATACACATAGGATAATAGACGGTTTTCTAAGAAAAGGAATAATTTTTCAAAATAATTCATTCATTGTCCAAAACAATTTAGAAATTTCAAAAAAATTGAACACATTTTTCCATTATAAGCTTTTTGAAAGTCTTATTTTAATTTTTTTTTGTGTTTTTTAATAATTAAAGAAAACACAAATTAATGAATATATAAAATAATTTGCCACTATAAACTCACCTGTAAAAATCTGCCGCAGGAGCGAATTACTCGCTGTATGTACATGATTCATTACAGACTCACCTGAAAAAAGCTGACAAATTACTGACTTACCTTTAAATCCTGCCGCAGTACCGAAGCACCTGTAAAAACCTGCCGCAGTACGGACTCACCTGTAAAAACCTGCCGCAGTACTGACTCACCTGTAAAAACCTGCCGCAGTACCGACTCACCGGTAAAAACCTGCCGCAGTAATGACTCACCTGTAAAAACCTGCCGCAGTACCGACTCACCTGTAAAAACCTGCCGCAGTAATGACTCACCTGTAAAAACCTGCCGCAGTACCGACTCACCGGTAAAAACCTGCCGCAGTACCGACTCACCGGTAAAAACCTGCCGCAGTAATGACTCACCTGTAAAAACCTGCCGCAGTACCGACTCACCTGTAAAAACCTGCCGCAGCGCTGACAGACTCGCTGTACTTGCCACGGTACTTCATACCAAAGTCCCACAACTGTTTGGCGTGGGTGAGTAGAGTGGCTGCGTAGGTCGGTTCTACAATTGAAAGAAACAGTCATTCTTCAGCTAAATACATACCACGGGAACAGGCTGGAGCAATATACAGACAAACGATTCGGATCTCATCCTGGCAATTCATTAATTTGTAAACAGAAAGATTTATTGCGAAGATGAAGTTAAATATGTCCCAATCACAAATTTTCATGCTTATCTTTACTTTGTCTTAGAATTTGTTTTAGATGCCATTGTATTTGTTTGTATAAGTATATATTACAGTTATTTTAGTAGTTCAAATAAAGCATATAGTGTGAAAACTATGATGTTTTTCCTTTAAAAAACGTGTTTCGATATCCATTAGACACACCTTACAACCCATACCGAGGTTTTAAAATGCCAATTAGCTAAACAAATCCTTGATCTTATATTACAATACAGACTAAAATCTTTAAATAATAAGTAGCCTCACTGAAGCAACATGACCTAACAAGACCTATATTCTATGCCAGATAGCCACACTACAGACCTTTGTCTTTAAACACCAGGTAGCCAGTAGCAACGGCCAGATGCAACATAACCTAACAAGACCTATATCCTTCAGGCTAGGTAGCCACACTACAGACCTTTGTCCTTAAACGCCAGGTAGCCAGTAGCAAATGCCGCTGCCGTGTCCATGGAGATCTCACTGCCAGGCTTGCTGGTGGTGATCTTGAAGGCTGGCCGCGCCATGGTCATCAGCTCTGGTGGTCCCCAGTAGCCGTGGTCAGCCCCGCCGTCCCCCACCTGCCCAGTGAAAGGACCTGTGCTTAGGGTACTTGCACGTATACGGCTTCGTTAAGGTGAAGTACCCCTTTTTAGTGTTAAGAACTTGCTCTTATGTCTAAACTATTTTATCCACAAACTAGACCTCTCCATTTCGTTGGAAATTTTAAAAGTTTATTCAATAACCGATAAACAAAGAAGGAGCCAATGAAGAGGCTACATCAGACAAAACGCGTTGATATAAGACTTAAAAATATTTTTTTTTATAATCTGGGATACTCATTAGGACAGGTGAAGTAGATTTCAACTGTTTTAATTGTCAAGGCACACTGAGCTGAATTTTTGGTGCCGAATATTTTGTTGGGGCTAGTATAAAATGCATTTTTAGCATAGGCAAATGATAAATATTTTCTTCCAATAAAGAAATTGAATAATATTTTTAAAGCCATTCTCGGCGATTGATTTATTATAGTTAAGACTGAAGTCCTAACAAGCTATGCTTTACATCCACACACGCTTCTACAATTGAAGGTATTTAATCCTATATATGTCACATTGACTCAAATTTTAAGCATCTACTTAAGGTATCTCATCCACCAAGGTCAAACAGCCACCAAGGCCACTCTGACACCAAGGTCACACAGCTACAATAGTCACATACAAATCAAGGTAAAACATCCACCAGTAACACTCAACCACCAAGGTCACCCACCCACAAAGGTCAAACATCCACTAAGTTCACACACCAACAAAGGTCACACTTCAACCAAAGACACACTCCCACAAATGTCACACATCCTCCCTCACCCCGCCCTGACCTGGACGTACAGCTCCTCTGGGCCAGTGTGACATTTGAGCAGGTAGTCCAGCGGCCACTTGATACAGTCCAGCAGGTAGTCCGCCTGACCAGCTGAGACGTAGGCGTCCTTGTACATCAGGTAACTCCAGGCCAGGATGGTGGCCGAGTAGGCCATGGGGAAGTTGAACTTGACGTGGTCGCCGGCTGCAACACAAGTGGGCATTAACACGGTGCTAAACGTAAAGGACTTTACACACGGTGCTAAAATAAAAGGGCCTTTACACACGGTGCTAAAATAAAAGGGCCTTTACACACGGTGCTAAAATAAAAGGGCCTTTACACACGGTGCTAAAATAAAAGGGCCTTTACACACGGTGCTAAAATAAAAAGGCCTTTACACACGGTTCTAAAATAAAAGGGCCTTTACACACGGTGCTAAAATAAAAAGGGCCTTTACACAAGGTGCTAAAATAAAAGGGCCTTTATGCAAGGCAGTGGCGTAGCGAGGTCGGGTGTCACCCGGTGCGACACTTAATGGTGTCACCCCCCAGAGGCGTAGCGACCCTTCCCGGTGACAAACTTTCAAGTTTTCGATTTGCACCCCCCCCCCCTCAAACTTTCGATTTGCACCCCCCTCAACTTTTCGATTTGCACCCCCCCCCCCTCAAACTTTCGATTTGCACCCCCCCTCAAGTTTTTCTATATATATTTTGCTATTTTTTGCCTTGGTGTCACCCCCCCTAAATGGTGTCACCCGGTGCGGTCCGCACCCCCCCCTCGCTACGCCCCTGATGCAAGGTTCTAAAATAAAAGGGCCTTTATGCAAGGTGCTAAAATAAAATGGCCTTCACACAAGTTGCTAAAATAAAAGGGCCTGAGCACAATGTGCTAAAACAGATGGGGATTAACACAAAAAGCTAAAATTAAAGGGCCTTAACACAAGGATCTAAAATAAAAGAGCCTTTAAAAAGGGCTAAAACTAAATGGCATTAACATAAAGTGCTAAAACTAAAGGTCCTTAAAACAAGGTTGTAAAGCAAGAGGGTATTAACACAACGTGCTAAATCTAAAGAGCATTAACATTACCATTTTGATAACAAGACAAAATCATGTTTAAAGTCAGTAAAACATAAAACCTTATTGTTATATAAGAAAATACGAGGAAGTTTAGGGGAACGCACTCTGAATTTTTATTGACAACGAATCATAAATCAGAGAGCTCCACCTACCGTCATACCATCCCCCAGTCAAGTCCTCCCCAGCACTGCCCTTATCCCCCAGAGCCGAGTCGCCCCTCCACGGGATTCTGTTGGTGGCCGGTAGTTTGCCTGACCGCTGGGCCTCATAAAACAGGATGGACTTCTGGAGCAAGTCGTTGTAGTTGTATTTAGAGTTGTCGGCTGGGGTCAAACAAGATGGTGAAAAGAGTGAACTTTAAATATAAAAGGAGAAATAGATGCGGAGGGTTGAGGGGGGGGGGGGGGAGGAGGGGTAGTTAAGAGAGGGAAAAGAAAGAAAGAAATTAAAGAAATTTAATGAGAACGAGAGATTATATGAGCAATGTTATAGGTTTTTAAAAAGTTACAAGTGTTATGAGATGTTGAAGGAACAAGTTTTGGGTGAGATGTTTAAGGAATAAATTGTGAGTGAGATGTTTAAGAAACAAGTTTTGGATGAGATGTTTAAGGAACAAATTTTGGGTGAGATGTTTAATGAACAAGTTGCAAGTAGATCGTTGAAAGGGCTTTTGCTGGGTAGCACGGTGAATAAAGTAGCAGCAGGTTTCGGCCTGTAGCCTTTTGACAGGTAGCCTGTAGACCAGTGATTCTTAACCTGTTCGAACGAAACCCAGGTGTTCCGTGAGTCAAACTTAAGGGTTCGACGGAGATCAAGACACACCAACTCACATAATTCACGATTGGATTTTGTCAGTGCGAACCATATAACTATTAAAAAAGGGTTCGGTGAATGTGAATATGAATCTGGTAGGGTTCGGTACCTCCAAAAAGGCTTAGAACCACTGCTGTAGACCACAAACAACGACTTACTGTTGGGCGCCTCGTGGACAGTGATGTTATCTTTACCCAAGTTGATCAGGACAGCTTGACCAGTCACACCCCCACCCCCGTACTGGGCGTCAAACCTGTCCACACGTGATCAAACAATATAAAATCTTTCATAATTATCTTTAGATTAGACTGTAAATGACAAAAAAGCATTGGTCGCTCAAGAAACATCTTTCATATTTTAGCGAAAAGTGATTGAGCTAAACGTTTCCCCACAAAAAGAAAGACAAATATACGGACCTAAGGAAAGTTTATAAAAATAAAACATTTTTATTCGAGGGTGTTAGTTTATTTCGAAATTTAATGTCACCTATTATAGGTTAAGTGTTCACGTGTACTAATTAATAAACAAGTACCAAATAATATTGAGAAAAATATTGGCACACAATGAATATGACTGCTTGACACAGTGCTGACCACACAATGATTGTGACTGTAGACACAGTGCTGACCACACAATGATTGTGACTGTACGCACAGTGCTGGTGACACAATTCCTTCAAATGCCAAGATATAAGAAAAATAAATGACCTCAACATGTACTGCCCCTTAGACGGTCTGAAGTGAAACTTTAAAACTTAAAACTGAAATATGAAATGTTTCGTCAGATAAGAATTTTTTAATGTTACTACCAACTTGACGCAGTAAACAACATAACGTTAGGCCAGGGGTGGTACCAAAACCGGTAGAACAAAATGTAACAATTGTTCATAGTCATACAACCATGTATTAACACCCGACGTCAAAATATGACGTCATGATGCGACGTCACACGATGACGTCACGAACACTCACTTGAGGTGAAGCTTGGAACCAGCGTGGTAGGAGACGTGCTCCGGACGGTTGACCACCAGCCAGTTGTAGCCGTCTGCTGAGTGGGACAGGACATCACCCACCTCGAACTGGACAACAGGGGGGGGGGGCGAGAATGTGTGCGGTCAGGACATTAGAAAAAAAAGAAAGGGAACAGTATCTAATCATTGGTTCTTAACCTTTTTAGAAGTAACGAACCTTAACACGTTTACATGAGCATTCACCGATCCCTTCTTTATAGTTCTATCTTCCGCACTGACAATATCTGATCGCAAATTATATGAGTCAGTTGCCTAGAGTTCATGGCTGGAGTTCATGGCAACAGTTCAGGCTAGAACTCATGGCTAGAGTTCATGGCTAGAGTAATGGCTAAAGTTCATGGCTGGAGCTAATGGCTAGAGTTCATGACTAGAGTTCATGGTTTAGAGTTCATGGCTAGAGTTCATGACAAGAATTCATGGCTAAAGCTCATGTCTAGAAGTTGAGGCTAGGGAATTGTGAATTTAAATCGTGGCTCGATATAAACTACAGAAGTCGCTCATGTACCTATTTATATAATTAAAATTGATTGATGTAGCACTTTGGCTGAATTTAAATTTCCTGATAAAATTGAAAATATTTGAAGTGAATAAAAAAGGTATTTTCCGAAAGTTATGATAGATGTATAGAAGAAGGGAGAACACTTACGTTCGTCATATTACTGAAAGGTTTGCTGAAAGTAATGTTGATGACCCATCCAAAGATGTCCTCAACGACATCAAAGTCGAAGTAGCCTTGGATGTTGTCCGGGTTATATATAGCCACTGTAAGACTGGCATGTACCCCATTACCAGGTGGGAGAATTACTGAAAAAAAATAAGCTATGATTTTAGAACCACTGCGGAAGTAATTCATATTTTAGAATTCTCACTGATCTTATTGGGGATTAATTTTTAAATACGTTTAAGGTGGGGGAAAAAGTAAAAATAATTAACGTATTTTAAAATACATGATTTAGCATAACCATAGGTTTTATAATATACTAGATGACCAAGTTTTCATTTGGAAAACTGTCTTTCGTCTGGACTACACAGTTCAAACCGATTTCTCATTAGGCCCTACGCCCCAATCCACTCTATTACATCTCTTAACCCCAAATGTCTCCCTCTTCTCACATAACTAATGAAAATATTAAAACAACATAAAAACATTTTAATCATGGACGTATGCAGGTTTTCTGGTTAGTAGGAACGGTAGGGTTTGAATGCCAGCTATTAGTTGTAACGTAGTAACTAATAACAATCAGTAAAAATAATTTAATTTAGCGCGTACGAGGGTGATAGCCGGGAATCTTTTATTTAAAAATATACGAAAATAAACCGTATTGAAACAATAATCTAGCAGAATGATGCAACTCAACTGGTAGGTAGATCATAGTCACTCTTTTTCTAGTCATTATGGTAATATCATATGTGACAATACAGAGAAAATAATACATATTCTCTTCTGCTCTATGGGCTAAACAAACGGAGTGGTAAAAAATGCTATTATAATAAATGTGGTCTACTGACAGGTAAACTAAGTCACTGTCATGAACGTAAAGTAGCAATAGAAATGTAACAGTAAAGTGTGCTAAATAATATTAACAATAGCAGTAAGTCGGTAGTATACTGACTATAAATAAAATAGTATGCCTTCTTTAAATAAAATATATTCATTCAATATAACCAGAACATGTTTCTGTACTTTGGTATTTATCTGTAAGTTCTAAACCTATAGCAGAACATTCTCGTCTTTTGACTTCCAATATTTGTTTAAATATTCAAACTGGCACACCCATGAGTTTTAGTAGTATACAGGATGTAGATAATTATTTTCATAAAGTTTCAAAACTAACAAACTGATGTAATGTAACTTGTTCAAAACTTTAATGCTAACAAACATTTGACTCTAAGATCTTACCTGGTCTGGGCGTGGTTGTGGGTAGAGTCTTACCTGGGGTATCTGAACCAGAAAGGTCAGAGGTTAAAGTGTTTGTATACCCACACTATGACATTACGTTGTACACGCTCCAAAGAAAATGTCATCTCATTATTCCATATGGTTACCATCAGCACCCAAATGTGACGTCTTCATATTCAACTCAAATAAAAATAACAGCTCTCTTATTTAAAAAAAAAAAAACCTATTATATTGGAGATCCAAAAAATCCTACCTGTTATAACCGTCGTAGTGACTATCCCTCCACCTCCTACTACCGCGTTCAGCGATGCCGTGGCGTTAGGGAGAGAGAAGTTATCACCTGGGCAGGGAGTAATGAGTGAAGACATATTTATATCGTTTTTTTTCAGGATAAAATAGTATCGATGTTCTCATAATAGATCGAGGTATTAGCAATTATATCTGATAGATAGGTGTAACAGGTGTAACAGATGAGACAAGTGAGATAGGTGAGACATGTGTAGCAGATGAGACAGGTGTGACACGTAAGGCGAGTGAAATAGGTGAGACAGGTGAGACGGGCGTGATAAGTGAAACAGGATCAGATGAGTGAGACAGATAAGATAGATGAACCAAGTGAGATAGATAGGTGAGACAGGTGAGAAAATTGAGATAGGTGAGACCGATCAGACCGGTGAGACAGAAGAGACAGGTTAGACAGGTGAGATAGACGAGATAGGTGAGACAGGTGAAACAGATGAGACAGGTAACATCGACTTAACACCGGAGAAAAAGGTGTAATAAAATACTTAAAAAAAACTTTTTAAAAAACCACGTTTTTCTTGTGGACTAAAAAGTAGAAAATAACTATTTACATACATTTGATGACAAAAAACGTGGGTACGTTCACCATCAAATTTCCCGACCCATCTGCCCGACCCACGTTTTTTGTCATCAAATGTATGTAAATAGTTATTTTCTACTTTTTAGTCCACAAGAAAAACGTGGTTTTTTAAAAAGTTTTTTATATAGTTTATTTACTACTTTATCTAATGACTTGATTAAGTATGAATTGACTAAGTGTTTATAAATACACGGACTAAAAAAATCTTGAGCGACCAGGATTCGAACCTGGGTTGTCGCGGCCACAACGCGAAGTACTAACCACTATACGATCACGGCCAGCGCGCTCACATCGATTGGGGCCGAAGTAACTGTGTCAACAAGCCTCCAGTCTTGTCGGTATCTTTAGAAATCATGTCCTCAATTTTATGGTCCTTTGGGCGTAATTAAATTAAGCTAATTACGGTCTCTAATTGCTAGTTTTTATGATTGCATCTGAAATTGTTAGGCGAAAGTAGCATGCATGCCAAATTTCAGATCTCTAGAGCAATCAGAAGTGGGCTAATTTTCGATGTCAATTTTAACAACAAACAAATCCACACATCCACAAACGCGAAGCTGAGTTAAGAAAAACGTGTTAAAAATTGAAACAGACGAAACAAGTGAGCCTTGTTTACAGGGGAAAAGTAGCGTGACACGTGGGACAGATGACTCACCGTGACCGATCATGTCAACACACAGATGATCTCCGACGTGTTCATCCTGGCTCCACGATTGGCTGTGGAGGACATAGACCTTGCCGTCGTCTTTGACCTCAAGGACGTCAGCCACCCAAGCCTAACCGGTAGCAATATGTATGTGTCTATGTTGTCTATACATATATATATATATATATATATATATATATATATATATATATATATATATATATATATATATATATATGTGTGTGTGTGTGTGTGTGTGTGTTTGTTTTTGTGTGTAATTTGATTTTTTATTTAAATTTATTACAAACAGACTGTCGATTTTCTGATCAAAGGTAAGAGTTATCGTCCATTCGTGGAGCTCTTGTGTGATGTCAAAACACGCCTGCGCCTGGAAACCCCCGGCCCAATGGCTGCTGACGTTGACGTCAACATCCGCCCACGTGACCGGCGACCAGAGGACCAATGAGAACAATCCAAACAGAAACCTGGGTAGGGAGTAGAAACAATTTCAGGTTAACTTATATTTTCACTCGAGAAATATGCTTAATTTTGTGACTACATTTCTTTTTTAGTTTCTCGTATACGAAGTAGGCCTATAGAGTAAGTATTGTAATCGTGCAAAAAATCGAAATCGAAACCATCACACATCTCGTCAATTTACATCAGCCTTAGTCGGAAAAGCATAGTTTTGCAATTTTGTCCGTATGTCTGTGTGTATGTGTAATGTATGTCTATGAACACGATAACTTGAGTACCGTTAGAGCTAGTTTGATGAAATTTCATATATAAGTATTGTATAAGTTGCCATCTTCCGTAGTGTTAAATAAATTTAATGGAGAAAGTTTAGGGGAGATCACTCCCGTTTTATTTATTTTTTTGTTACTTTTTGAAAATTTGCGTTTATATAAATTATTTTTTTTAAAAGGTTAACATTTTTTTAAGAATAAAAGTAATCCAAACTGTGACGACTAGTATTATTATAAATATGTGTGGTTTGCCAAGCCACCGCCTCCCCCCCCCCCATACTACACCCATCTGCCTCTTAAAATATCTCCATAGATACAACACTAGAATAAACCAATGGCTGCAATGTAGTAAAGACTAGGGTTGTATTCAAACTTACGTCAACATTGTGCTATGGTTATTTCTAACGTAAATAAAAAGCTTTCTCCTTACAGAGGGCTGGGTGGTCTGATGATAGCGCATTTGCCTGTTTACCCAAAAGTTTGAATCCGCAGGTTCGTGTCCGTTGAACGTCCCACAATAAACCCAGTTCTAATAGTTATCAGATTTAGGATAAGGCGAACTTAGGCGACTGGGCATAGTGCCGACCACACTATCCCTTCATATGCCGCGTCCACTGAAACAGGTGCACTCTACTTCATCTGCGTATGGACACTCAGATTTGAACGGATACTTTACTTACCTACACTTAAAGTGTGTTTTTATCACTTACACGACGCCATTTTTTTAATTCTCTCAAGAATTCTTACATCGAGAAACTAAGTCCAACGAATACTATGATAAAAAAGAGAAAGGAATAATGTGACTTACGACTACCAACAACTACCAACAACTACCAACAACTACCAACAACTACCAACAATCACACACCTCAGACTTACATTTGAACAGAGCCGTCTTACCTCATCATAACAATATCCTATCTGAGATAGAACCTTGTCACTGTGTGGCTGGTACACCAGCTGTCAAATCTTGTCAAATTCTCCAAGACGTCCTTATCAATAAGGAATCTGGCCATGAACTTACACACAAAACTATTTACAGTTGGTTCTCTAATTCATGATTCGCCGTATATATATATATATATATATATATATATATATATATATATATATATATATATATATATATATATATATATATATATATATATGTACATAGGCCTATATATATATATATATATATATATATATATATATATATATATATATATATATATATATATATATATATACTAGAATACCCGTCATCCCTTGGATAACTGTGGCTTTCGGGGGTCATCCATCAAAAAACATCACGTCTGTCACTCAGAGGCATAGCGAGCCTTCCCGGCGCCCGGGGACAAACTTTTCGATTTTAACCCCCCCCCCCCAAGATTTCGATTTTCAACCCCCCCCCCCCCTCAAACTTTTGATGTGCACCCCCTCCGCCCCCCCCCCCCCACTCAAACTTTCGATTTGAACCCCCCTCAACCTTTCAATTTATTTTTCCAAACCATTTTGGCGCCCCAACATACGTCCCCCCGCCCCCCCCCCTTCACCTCCCCCCGCCTCCCCTTCCCCCCCCGCCTCCCCTTTTCCCCCCCCCCCCCCCCCCCCGCCTCCCCTCCCCCCCCCCCCCCCCGCCTCCCCACCCCCCCCCCCCTCCTCGCTACGCTACTGCAGTGTCACTTATCGTCACAAAAACAGAGCCCACATTCAAAAATATGTTTCTTATCTTTTAAAAACACCGAAAACACCGATTTCGGACTATCCCTTCATATACTGACGTCACATGTGACCTACTCAACTCTACTTCACCTGCCCAGTGTCCCGCCAAGTCTCAGACAACATGTTTTTATCGTTTAAAAAACGATTCCAGCCGAGCATGTCTCTGACCACACTATCCTTTCATATGGTTAGGACAAAGAAACAGATGAACTCTACTTCACCTGCCCTGTATCCTGCCAAGTTCAGATAGGCAACTTTATCATTAACATCTAAAAAAAAAAAAATTGAAAAAAAATATTTTTTATCATTAACATCTAAAAAAAAAAAAATTGAAAAAAAATATCATTGACATATTGGTCTAGAACCTGTACCACTCGCATGAGAGCGGACTACGCTACAAACTTAGCTATTTACTCGTGACGTCACAAATGAATTTTTATACTATACTTTGATGCAACTTGATTTCGAGCGTCTAGTCTAGAAGTAGTAACTTTCAAATTAAATTTTATCTTAAATTAGCCAAACAAAGATTTATATAAAATAATTAAGGCCTGAAATAGATTCTAGATGTATTAAGGCCTGAAATAGATTCTAGATGTAGAATTTACATTAAGTCTAGATTTAGAATTTACATTGAGTTTAGTGACCTAGATCTAGATCTAGGCTAGATTCATAAATTTCCTTCGACAGCTGATCTTTAGATCTAGAGAAATTTATTGTAAAACTAAATGAAAAAAGACAGTTGAAAATTGATATAAGTGTTGGTACGTAATAAATACAGCAAACGGACGTATTGTTAAAGTTATGACCGACAGAAAATTAGATTTAGAACGCGTTAAACTTTGGAATGGGAACACAATTTTCTTCGATAGACGCCGCCATTTTATTGTACTAAAGAGTCAACAAAAAACTCTGACGTCACTATCAAGGGACGTCACTATCCCCACAAAGTTTATTCAAAGTATTAACATTTTTAAAAAAATACGGTTAATTTAACAATGAATAAATCAATAAATTAATTAACGTCTTTAAATAAATGTGTGATTAACAGTCTGTCTTAAAACAAAAATTTTTCTCTACCTACATACTATTTTACAGCTTTAAACGATGAGTGCAACCATGCGAGATAGTCAATCAGGCAAACAAACAAACAAACAAAAAAACAAACAAATAAATATTCAAACATGTAAACAAACTTGACTTTTAGTAGTATATAGATGTAGGCCCTATATATATATGTATATATATATATATATATATATATATATATATATATATATATATATATATATATATATATATATATGAAATTATTTTATTAGCACCTGCATTTTTCTTAACCAGTAGCTTTGAAATGTGGAGGGGTGGGGGGAAATTTAGTCTTGAGTTTGGATATTGAATGACGAACCTGTCAAGATACTTCGTCATGCTGACGCAATGGTATAAAACATACGAAACTGAATCGCTGTGCATTTTTTCGGGTGTGACTTCAACATACTGTACTATCTGCCCCTCTCGTTTTACTTTTTATATTAGCTTAAGATATAGAGAGTGGGTCGTTGGTCTAGGGGTATGATTCTCGCTTCGGGTGCGAGAGGTCCCGGGTTCAAATCCCGGATGACCCCATATTTTTATTATTTTGCCTTGACGTATATCTTGTTAATATTTTTAAGTTGGGCCCATATTCTAGCCCCCCCCCCCCCCCCACCTCAACCCGTGTACACAGAGCATAGAACCAAGGGAGAGAAACTAATTATTAGGAGTTAATTAAAAATAAATTGAAATAATTATGGTTTCTTTATCTCAATCCAAGAAAGAATATAGTGATCTATTTAGTAAAGAAAAACTTTTATTACTAAAATTGAAAATAATAAGAAATTTTTTATAAATTATCACTTTAGGCAAATCGTGTAAATTCATGCGATTCTGTGAAAAATACATTTTGATATTATTTGTTCATGCCCTTGAAATCAGGTGGCTCGTTGGTCTAGGGGTATGATTCTCGCTTTGGGTGCGAGAGGTCCCGGGTTCAAATCCCGGACGAGCCCATAGTTTTTTATTACGTGTTTTATACTTTTCTTCTCGTATGTTTTCCATGTATTTGATATTTCACAGCCAAGGTTACTGGGAACTTTGGTTACGGTGATCATCTTTTTTTTACAACCCTCCCTTCCCCCCCCCCCCCCATTAAAGTATTGTATCAAAGCTAAATTTGTCTTACCTGTATTGCTCTTGACGTTAGAGCTTGATCATTAGAATTAGGTTACTGGTTAGAATTTGTTTTAATAGGAGTTCAATTGATGTTAAAGGTTAGGACAAGTCCTAAAGCCGTGTAACAAATAGCTAATTATTTTACCCAATATGTGATTATGGAGGTATTCAATCTAGTTGGGAGATGTATAGCTTAATATATATATATATATATATATATATATATATATATATATATATATATATATATATATATATATATATATATATATATTAATACGTGTATGGAACAAAATAATCACCATGTATTCCTAAATAAGACGAGAGTATGTTTTGTAGTTAGAAATGGGATTTAGATTTTGTGTTGTACATTTGAAACAGATGTGTCTTTAACTTACTGAAAGGCCTTCTAGCCTAGACGTGTTGTAACTCAGATGAGTCAGCAGGTTAAAATAGATTGTGGATTAGATTACGCGGTGCGTTTATGTTTTGTAGTTTGAGATGGGATTTAGACTGCGTGTTCTATATTTTGTTTAGATCTGACGTAAACCTACATTAAGGCCTTCTAGCCTATCTGTGTTAACAACTATTTCAGATGAGTCAACAGAATTAAATAGATTGTAGATTAGATTACCAGTAGTGCTAACCGTGGGTCGTTGGTCTAGGGGTATGATTCTCGCTTCGGGTGCGAGAGGTCCCGGGTTCAAATCCCGGACGACCCCTATAACGTTTTAACGTTTTTACCTAAATGTTCAATGCTTCTATTAACATAAACTTGTCTGGACAGGGGTAGATTACTGAAGCTAATATGTGTATGAAACAAAAATCACAATGTATTCTATAACAGGACGTGTGTATGTTTTGTAGTTTGAGATGGGATTTAGATTGCGTGTTCTATATTTTGTTTAGATCTGACGTTAACATACTTCTGGCCTATCTGTTTTAACAACTATTTCATATGAGTCAGCAGATGAAAATAGATTCTAGAGTAGATGTTACCATGGGTCGTTGGTCTAGGGGTATGATTCTCGCTTCGGGTGCGAGAGGTCCATTTTTAACTAAATGTTCCATTTTTAGCGGGTGTTCAGTAAAGATAACGCTTTGTTACAGTATGCTGGGCCAATTTACGGTCTAGTTTACTCAAGTAAATAGAAGTGAATAGAAATAACGTTATAAAGTTTTTAGGCAAAATGTTGTGTCATTTTCAGCTTTTGCTTTGTAAAGATAAAGCTTTGTTTACTAAAGAAAACAGAGGTGAATTAATAATAAAGAAACCAAAATGTAGTTTTTTTCACATTAATTTAGGACGGATAATAGCAATATCTTTGATAAAACAATAACTGAAACATTATAAAGAGTTATTTTTTTCAAAAATAAAAGCCATTCCTTTATCAAGATTACTTTTGTTATTTCATCGATAACTTATTAATACTAAAACAACATACACATTGAACTTTCATTATCAGTCTAGCAAGTGGCTCTTTGGTCTAGGGGTATGATTCTCGCTTAGGGTGCGAGAGGTCCCGGGTTCAAATCCCGGACGAGCCCAATCGTGATTTTAGTTAATAAGATATTTATTTTCCTGAATTTTTCACTGTATTGTATGGTATTATTTAAGTTAAAACGTAGGGCAATTAAAAATCCCTCCATTTTAATTTTAATACTCCTATCAGTTTTATAATCAGTTGTGCTAATTGCAAAAGTAGGCCTATTAATACAACGTCAGAAAATATGTCTTTATATGTCTGTGTCTATATAACATTATTACAGTTTTTGTTTATTTACTCTACCACTATTTTTGACACTATAACTTATTCTTATTTCCTTCTAATACACACGCATAAATGCTTCCTTATAGGACTGAAGGGATTTATTATTTGATGTTATATAGTGGCGTCACAAGGCTGGTGCGTGACTGAGCGTAGGGGGGTGCTCCCTGCACGGTGTGACTATACTTAGAGGTTGACAAAAAAGTCTCCACGTATTTTTATTATAATAATTAAAGTGTATTTTGTTCTAAGATTTAGATTAGTTATTGTTAATTTATCCAAATGAACCGTTAATACTCTACTATCTCTGTTGCCGGTAAGATTTTAGCTTAGACTGCTAAAATCACGGGGTCGTTGGTCTAGGGGTATGATTCTCGCTTCGGGTGTGAGAGGTCCCGGGTTCAAATCCCGGACGACCCCCTTTTTGCGTAGTGTATCAACACATCATCATCAACATTCCTTTGTGCCCTCTGTGGAGCAAAGGGCTGCAACTACACATTTCCAGCGGACTCGGTTTTGGGCTGCTCCCTTAATCTGTGCCCATGTGAGCCCAGCTGTCTTAGCCTCTTCTTCAACCGTTCTTTTCCATGTTTTCTTTGGCCGGTCCACTTTCCTTTTTCCCAGGCGATTCCAGTCCATAGCAAGTTTTGTAGTATTTTCTTTTTCTCTTCTTAACGTGTCTCCGATCCATCCCCATTTACGGGCCTTGGTATCCTTTTCCATTGGCTGTTGCTTTAAAATTTGCCAAAGGTCTTTGTTTGATATTTTGTCTGGCCACAGTTGCCTTTTTTGTACCGTGTATATTGTAACGAAAAAAAAATACGCCTGTAAGGAAATACATGGAACGCAGATTTCCTTCAATAATTTCAACGACAATTAATTTTTCAATATATAAAATAATAAATTCACAAAGAGTATTGAATTAACTTGTAGTTTCGATCTAGCAACTAAACTCTTCATATCCTCGATTTGTTTGTGATTTTTAGTGTTTCTATTTTCGAAATTTTCGAAGAGAAAAAATAACAAAAACTTCCTAGTCTCGATAATACATTGTTGGCAACACAACTCAAATCAAACTTTTTGACAATAATTTATTAATTAAATAATTGTACAACAGATAAACCATTACACTTAAACCGTGCAAGGTTAAAATAGACGATTTATAATTACATCACAAGGATGAAAGGAATATAATTGAATATTTACAGATGGTTAATTACTTTTTTTTAAAAAATAGCGTTAATTAGCTCTACGGGCGGAATGTTATGAAGTTTAGACAACTCTGTCCGACACGCATGTTATCAATTACTTTGTTCTTTTAAAACTCTTTTAAAAAAGTAAGAAAGTGAAAAAAAATCAATAAAAACCGACAGTTAATAGTGAATGTTTTCAGATTTTAAGAAACTTACTGTAATTATCTCTTTATAGATGTAATATAAATTGTTTATCTTTTTATAAAAAATACACGTTTTAAGACAAGTTAAGGCACTTTAAATGAAATAAAAAATATCCTAAATAAAGAAGCCTACAGTATCTGAGTGAAGATTATATTTGGTGTGCTGAAACACCACCATTTTATGGTGTCATGGTGGTAGGTCTTGAGGTGTTTCCACATGCGTCATTCTGTACTTGTGGTTGACTTTAAAAAAAAAATGAAGTTGATTTTTTTCCTAATGAAGTTGAGCGTTACTTTGATGTCATCATTTTGACGAATTCTGAAATCATAAAGGGTAGAGTTTAACAACAGGTTAAGTAACATCTGGACCATAAGTCTACAACCGGCTTTGTAGGAGTTCCATACATACAGAAATGAAAATAAAAGCAAAAATGTTTTAAAAAATAAAAAAAAAATAAAAAAAAATTGAAATACGTAAAGTTTTCTGATGAATTTAGAAATATCACATATATTTAGTAAAAAGTATTTTAAGATCCTCGTTCATATTTTAACACAAAAATCTGCCATTGAAAGATTGCATTTTTTTGTGTGTGAGTATTTCTGATTTAAGTGTCGGATAAATTAAAAATTGTATTGGGTGTTGACTTTTATAAGATAAAATTGAATATGATAAAACGAAGTGTTGCATAACTTAATATAAGGCCGGGGATGCATTAAAAATACAGCATATTTAAGTTTTATACAATACGCGAATAATCTTCAACACGTTTTAATTACCGTCGTAATTAACTTGACCGTCCCCGTCCGTATCCGCCTCCCGGATCATCTCGTCCACCTCCTCGTCCGTCAACTTCTCCCCCAGGTTGGTCATCACGTGACGCAGCTCCGCGGCGGAAATGAACCCGTTGCCGTCCTTGTCAAACACGCGGAACGCTTCGCGGAGCTCCTCCTCCGTGTCCGTGTCTTTCATCTTCCTGGCCATCATTGTCAGGAATTCTGGGAAGTCGATGGTTCCATTTCCTGTGAAGAAATGCGGCGTTAATTCGTGTTTCGTGTTTTGTAGAAAAACAAATTGTAAAGTGTCAAAGTTTGAATTGCCTCAGAACAAATGACATTTTTTTTTTTTATTTTTTTTATTTTTTTTTTTTTTTTTTTTTTTTTTTTTTTTTGAAAATTTGATATAGCTTCAGAGCTTGATCGAGATTCGATTTAAAAAAAAATGCATGCTTTTTGTTTTTTGTTAAAATTATTTGAATAAGACATAGTTTCAATAGGAAAAGCAATTAATGTAAAATGTTGATTTATGCAAAATAAATGTATAATTATACAAAATAAATGTATCTAGTCTAGATCGGTTATAAATGTGCACTTTAAATTACTAATTAAATGAATATAAATATTTTGAAAATTTTTGTTTCATTTATTTAAAAATACTATGAGAAATATCAGATTTTAGAGGCGTGAGATTTGCTAACTCTAGAATTTAAAACAAACTTTTAAATTGTGATTCGAGATATAGAACGAAGTTTACCTTCAATTTAAGTATGATTGTAAAGTTAAATTCCACTTTCACAAATATAGTTAAATATTTTAGGAATATTAGTAAAAAAACATTGATTGTTTTAAAATGCACTGAAAATATTTTATTGAAACGCCCTTACATTTTGTTAATTATGAATATAACACAGCATGAGTAAAATAGAATTACCATCAGCATCAACTTCATTGATCATGTCTTGAAGTTCAGCTTCTGTTGGATTTTGCCCCAGAGAACGCATGACTGTTCCCAACTCTTTGGTTGTGATGGTGCCGTCGCCATCCTTATCAAAGAGACTGAAAGCTTCTTTGAATTCTGGAATTTGAGGAGAAAACAGTAGGCAAAAAAAAAAAATTAATAAAATCTCTGAAATAAATTAAAAAAATTAAAAAAAAATGTCGTTAGTGACATTTTGAAAAACTAAAAGTAACAAATAAAGAGAAAACGGGTAATTAAAGATAAGGTAACCAGGAAGGTTATTGTGAAACTACATTTTAGCAGTTATGTCCCTTGATAATATATTAACCACAGTAGCTTCCCTTAAGAGTAAATCTATATAATTGTTTATTTTATGGTTCCTACGTAACATTTAATAATCTAAAAGCACTTTCAATGTCTTTCTTTCCTTCTTTCTTTATAATCATCGTTAGCTTAATAGCCGTTACCGAATAGCCAGGCAGGCCTCAACACGGCCAACTCCGACTAACTGGCTCATCGGTTTGATTGGCGGGTATCGGTGGCTTCCGCCCGTCAGTTTTCGCTACAGTCAATGTTGATCCCCTTCCCCACCCAAACGTTACAGCTGTGAGTTAACGAACACTGAACATATCCGGGAATGATGCTACACGCTGAAGCGCCCGAGCATAAAAAACTATTAGGTGCATTCAACCTCCGTGTTTGTTTATCTTTCAATGCGATCTTTCGAGACATGGAAACTCCTACTGTATGACGTAGGATGTGTAACTTTAAGGCTGTTTGTCAGAGATGTGTTAGCGTGTCTGTCCTAAGCCTAGCAGGAATGTGTCGTAAGTTTTGCGACCCAAGAAATGTTCTCCTAACTTAGCTGTGGCCTAATTATTTGTCCTAAAAGATGCGTCCTAATTTATCAGCGTTAATCAGTGTGGTGTATAGGAAGTCAAGGACCATAACTCACCAGCTATTGACTCTTCTGTGAGTTGTTCCGTCTGAAAAAAAAGACAAAAAATGTGTGGTAATACAATTATTCGTAAAAGAATTGCCGACTGAAAAGGAAAGTAGCGAAACAATTAGATCAGTGCATATGGAAATATCATTGGCTATTATTTATACAAACAAATTCCTTGGAGTCTAATTGAGGCTTCTCTTCGGGAGGGGTGTGGGGGTTGCCACCTCCTCCACCCAAATCATGTCAAATCCCCCAACCCCTCAAAGAAAAAGGAAAAAATATGTAATTTATATATAGAATATACATACTTTAACCAGTGTTTAAGATATGTCTCATAGTAATAGACGGCGCGTAATGAACTTCACATACGTAAGCGTCGAACAACTTACAACTAAAGAAACACATTACGTTAACAATCTTGTTTTTTTTTATTTTAAAAATTGAATTAGGTGTTCCTCTAGTAAATATTAATATCATGTGACGAAAAAAAAATTAAAATAAAATATAAACTTGACATTTTTAGAACCTTTGACGTGAACTGAAACGGATTAAGTGGAGAGTGATTAAGCACTTAGTATTAATTTTAAATTGTTTGCTGAATTATAAAAATGGGATTAAATGACACACACGCAACAACAACAAAAAATCACAACAACAGCTAAGCTTATCCTGTCATGTATTAGATCTAGTACTCTTGCTTAGTGTTGCTTGTGTTTAGGCAAAGTTTTCAAAAAGGGAAAAAAATATTTTGCTTTTTTTCTTACTAGATTATATGAAGAGATTAAACTGGATTAAAAATTAGGCGGCTTGTGTTATTACCAAATTTTTTTATCATGGGACGACATGATCGGAAGGTAGAGAGCACAACTGGTCACAGTCCCGAGTTCGAATACCGGGCTTGAGTCCGCATGTCGTCCCAGAGTCCACCCAGCTCTGGTGAGTACCTGAATTTAGGAAAAGTAAATGCGGCTGACAGCACTATCCCTTCATAGGCACATGTGAACTCTACTTCATCTGTCCCGTGGACCACCAGGTTCGAAAGGGTAACTTTGTTTTGGTTCTTGGAGTTGTAGCCCTCGAAAGTCTCGAGTTCGAATCCAGGTTCAAATCAGTGGAACGTTCCTGAGTCCACCCAGCTTTGGTGATTACCTAACCTATGTTAGGGAAACAAGGGCGGCTTGGCATTGTGCCGACCACACTTCATATACCGAGGTCTCTGAAGCAGATGAACTCTACTTCATCTGCCCCATGTGTCTTGGGCACGAACGGGAAATGATGATGATGATGATGATTCGCCTGCTCCACCACGCCTTCCAATACCTACACTGTGTATGCTTTAAAAATTTGTATATTTATGTCAAATGAAAATAAACATCCAATTGTGATTTAGCTTCGTGTCTGCTACTTCATCAATTCCCCTTATTTTATTAAAACACTAACTATGAATAAAGCCAAAGCTTCAGAATCGAGGTTAACTTAGTCTGTGCCCATCTCCTTAGCCTAAGCTATAAATATAAGATTAACCAGTCTACTTACAGAAATCTAGGCTAAGCTATAAATATGAAATTAACCAGTCTGCTTAAAGAAATCTAACCAAAGCTACAAATATGACATTAAACATTCTCCTCAAAGAGAATGTAGCAAAATGATCCAAATATGAGATTAAACAGTCTCCTTAAAGATAATGTAGCAAAAGCTACACATATGAGATTAGCCCGTTTCCTTAAAGAGAATGTAGCCATAACTACATGAATAAGGTTAATCTATTCTATGTCATTCTCCTTATCAGCTGTCATCTCTACAAAATAGTTTCAATGGTTAACAGAATCACCACCCTATTTTCTCCCCACCCCCGTGTTTGTACTTTTGTACCCCTAAGCTTCCCATTCGCGTTCAATGGCGTGTGGTAACGTTCCGGATCAGTGGAGCGCATCATTACGTCCTGCCACCACAGGAGTGAGTCACTACCGTGCGGTAAACAAACGGAACACAAGCACTGTTACACTTGTTGATGTCCCTTCAGTGCCAGCATTATCCCATTTAGTTTGTGATCCAGCTATCCGGATTATCCTGGTATCCGAAATATTAGTTAAAAACCACTATCCTTTTCATCCAGTAAATTTAATATGTATAATATGTCAACTATCCCACTATTTGTGTTATCCCAAAACTCCACAAATACACATATCATTTAAATAATACTGTTAATGTTCAAATATTTGCACTTTTATATTGTTTATATTCACACTTTTTATCCCAGTATCGATATTATCACATTAATATCCCAATTATCCCTACTATCCTAACTATCGGAGTTTATATAATATCATATTTCTCGTGTCATCCAACTATACTTTTGATCTTATAATACCTATAATTAACTATCAATATTCCCCAACAGCCATTATTATTCACTAATTCTATCATCCAACAACCTGTATTATACATATCTAATTTACTCAACATCCAAAATTATAATCAAACTCCAAATTCACTAACTAACGCTATTAGCGAAATATCCATGATATTCAACTATCACAATGTTTTTATTATGTAATATGCTACACCAGTGGCGTAGCGAGGTCGGGTGTCACCCGGTGCGGCACTTAATGGTGTCACCCCACAGAGGCGTAGCGACCCTTCCCGGGGACAAACTTTCAAACTTTCGATTTTCACCCCCCCCCCCCCTCAAATGTTCGATTTGCACCCCCCTCAAGTTTTTCTCTATTTATTTTGCTCTTTTTTGCCTTGGTGTCACCCCCCTAAATGGTGTCACCCGGTGCGGTCCACACCCCCCGCCCCCTCCTCGCTACGCCTCTGTGCTACACGTATGTTCCTACTACCCAACAGTTAATCTAAGCTCACATTGCCCCACTATTGTAAACATTCCATAACTAGTAAAACTCCATTATTCTAACAATCCCACTGCTGATCTAACTTTACGTCATTATCACACCATCAGAATTATCTCATTATCACTACTATACAAATTATCCCAATAAACGTATTCTACTTCATTACCGTACTAATTAGCGATTATCTCAGCATCTGCCTTATCCCATTCCAAATTTTATACCTAATTATCCCACCACAAGAATTATCTACCCTAGCAACTAGCTATGTCCTATGTAAACCATATGACCCCTAACACCCGACACAGTTATTTCCCTTACCCCTGTGTTATACCGGACTATATCATTTAGATCTAGTTAATATCTCAAAGCCAATGAGAAATGCCCTACACAAGATTTGACTGACACCTTATATTTTCATTAACTCGCTGTGTCGTCAAGATCATTTTTAGACGAGGAAATACCAAGGCTGTGTCGTAACGCTCGTATTTCACAACTACACAGGGGGGGGGGGGGGGGGTTTCGTCAGCTGTGTTAATCGTGTGTAGAGTGGAATGTGTGTATGTGTGTGTGGGGGGGGGGGGGGTGCAATTAAAAATTAGGCAATGTTAAATTTAAAATAAAATATTTTTCCAGTTTAAGATTTACCTGCTTGTTGAAAATGTAGGTAATCGATATATGTTACAGCTAGCTCAGTCAAATCTAGCAGCTTAGGTGAGAATCATTGTTTGGTACTATTTTGTTTGGTACTACATAACCTGAATTAACTGATAGGGCGTATTGAAAAGCTTACTGTATCTATTTCGTAACATTGCAATTTTTACATGTGAACATTATTTTTGTCTCCCAGATCGATTTTTTTATGATCATTGCCTCATGAGCTATTTATAGCACCGAAATTTCAACCCAAACTGGCCAATTACAAATCGTCTCAGCAACTGACTAGCTAGAAAACCATCGACCTTCAGCCTCTAGTTGACCAGCGACCATTAGCCTCTAGTTGACCAGCGACCATTAGCCTCTAGTTGACCAGCGACCATTAGCCGCTAGTTGACCAGCGACCATTAGCCGCTAGTTGACCAGCGACCATTAGTCTCTAGTTGACCAGCGACCATTAGCCTTTAGTTGACCAACGACCATTAGCCTCTAGTTGACCAGCGACTTTTGACCACTATTTGACCAGCGACCATTAGCCTCTAGTTGACCAGCGACCATTAGCCTCTAGTTGACCAGCGACCTTTGCTCTAGTTGACCAGCGACCATTAGCGGCTAGTTGACCAGCGACCATTAGCCTCTAGTTGACCAGCGACCATTAGCCTCTAGTTGACCAGCGACCATTAGCCTCTAGTTGACCAGCGACTATTAGCCTCTAGTTGACCATCAGCCGCTAGTTGACCAGCGACCATTAGCCTCTAGTTGACCAGCGACCATTAGCCGCTAGTTGACCAGCGACCATTAGTCTCTAGTTGACCAGCAACCATTAGCCTTTAGTTGACCAACGACCATTAGCCTCTAGTTGACCAGCGACTTTTGACCACTATTTGACCAGCGACCATTAGCCTCTAGTTGACCAGCGACCATTAGCCTCTAGTTGACCAGCGACCTTTGCTCTAGTTGACCAGCGACCATTAGCGGCTAGTTGACCAGCGACCATTAGCCTCTAGTTGACCAGCGACCATTAGCCTCTAGTTGACCACCGACCATTAGCCTCTAGTTGACCAGCGACTATTAGCCGCTAGTTGACCATCAGCCGCTAGTTGACCAGCGACCATTAGCCTCTAGTTGACCAGCGACCATTAGCCTCTAGTTGACCAGCGACCATTAGTCTCTAGTTGACCAGCGACCATTAGCCTTTAGTTGACCAACGACCATTAGCCTCTAGTTGACCAGCGACCATTAGCTCTAGTTCACCACCGACCATTAGCCTCTAGTTGACCAGCGACCATTAGCCTCTAGTTGACCAGCGACCATTAGCCTCTAGTTGACCACCGACCATTAGCCTCTAGTTGACCATTAGCCTCTAGTTGACCAGCGACCATTAGCCTCTAGTTGACCAGCAACCATTAGCCTCTAGTTGACCATTATCCTCTAGTTGACCAGCGACCATTAGCCTCTAGTTGACCAGCGACCATTAGCCGCTAGTTGACCAGCCACCATTAGCCGCTAGTTGACCAGCGACTATTAGCCT